TGGAAAATGTGCTTTTAACGGCGTGTTCTTGGTATACCGAGAAGACGTTCGGGGTACCGATCATGAATCTTTGTTTCAGGTTCAGTGTTATGTAGTCATCCATTGGTGTTGCCAGTTCTTGTTCTGCCTTTGGCCCTTCTTGGTATAGGAGCATCATGTAGAATGAGATCAGGCGTGGCTGCGCGGTGCCCACCTTGGCCCCGCGTGGAGGAATCCGACCCTTTTCTGGGGAAAGACGCCGCCGGAAGCCTCGGTATCTCTACTCAGCGTCTCCCAGGCTCAGCTGAAATGGACGGGCACCGCCGGGGCCAGGCTCGGCCAATGGGCCCCGTTTCCACAGGACACTTGCCAGAGTAACAACCGACATCAAGGTTTTGAAAAAAACGTGGCTGTGTCTGGCCTTGGTGGTGCGCACAGGCCACTAGACCCTCCCGGGGCCTGGCGGGGCTTGGTGGGTGGGACACGCAGCTGAGGCGGTGGGCTCGGGGGCGACAGGAGTCTGCTTGAGGGCCACCCCTCCTGGTTGAGGGGGCGGTGAGCCCAGGGAAGGAGCAGATTCTTGCAATATCAAGTATAAGCCTGTGGCAAAGAAATGTCTGTAAATACATTTTTAAAGGTGGATTTTGTTTAAAAAATCTGAATGAACAAGTCTGTTGGGTCATGCTGATGGGTGTCAGAACGGGGCTCCGCTCACACCCCAGGCCTTGTGACCTGCAGCTGCCAACATCCTGGCTCCTAGGAGTGAACCAGGAAGGCTCTGCCGCATGCTCAGGCAGGTGTCCACCGCCTCGGGGCAGCTTCTCCGGCCTCGCCGGGCCGGTGTTGTGCCGCCCCTTGTGGGTATGACCGGACACATCCTAAGATGTTGATTCTTACTGTGCTTTATAAAATAGAGTGTAGTTTACAGAAACAGGAACCTTTTTTTAAAAGTTAACTACATGCAAAACTGTAGGTGATAAATATGATGTATTTTTTTTCATCTCTTTTTGTTAACGATTTACAATAAAAATGATGCTGATCGGCATCCAGATTTTGCTAAACTTGGCCGTGGTGTCGGCTCCCTTTCTGGGAGGGAGGGGTGGGAGGACAGAGGGACAGGGACAGGCTGTTCTCCTCTGAGGCACCCGCAGTCCTGCCCCTGCTGACGAGAGAATGTTGGAGAGACTGCCCAGCCCCCGCCCAGATCCACGCTGTCTCCTGTTCTACATCCAGCTCTGCATCTGCCAGGGCCAAGTCTCCCCATTCCCCCGCTCCACCCACACACACACCGCTGGCCCGTGCTGGGAAGCAGGGACACACAGAGCAGGGCGCATGCAGCCCCATCACTGGGGACTTACCTATCTGGAGTGACATGAGGTTCCAGGCTCTCCCATTCTTCTGGGCCACACAGGGTGAAGGCACCACTCACTCAACCTAGGCATGGCAGGCAGGAGGGTGTGAGCAGGGACTTCCAGACCCTTTGGGGAGGGCAAAGGCAGCCCTCGAAGCACCTGAGCAGGGCCATCAAGGGACTGACAGTGAGCTGAGAAGGTGCTGTGAACCCAAGAGGGTGCAGGCCAAGTAGCACCATTTTCTTGGGAATACAGAGTATGGCCACAGACTGTGCCCTTGCCAGGTGCCCATGTACGCCTCTGCTATCCCTCCTGTCTGCCTCCAACTCCGCAGGACGCGCGCCTCTCTATATGGCCCCGCCCCTCGTCCACATGGCCCCGCCTCCTCTTCACGTGGCCCCGCCCCTCCTCCACATGGCCCCGCCTCCTTTCCACACGGCCCCGCGCCCTCTTCACGTGGCCCCGCCCCTCCTCCACAGGGCCCCGCCCCTCTTACGCAGGGCCACGGCCGTAGCCTCAGGCAGGTGTATTCAAACCACATTAACAAAAGGAGAGTCCTGTGTCCTCTGCACCGCAAGGTGCTGCGACCCAAGGACAAGTGTGAGGCCAAGCTCTCCTCGCTGGGTTTGGAAGCTCCTCCGCCGCTCATCACGGTGCTGGGCACGGGATCCGGGTACTGGACTAGAGCCTCCGGGGAACTGGCATTAGGCAAGGGCCTCACCTTTCAGAGGGAGGGGCTCAGCCTGAATTCTACCCAAGGCCTCCCAGCAGCCCCAAATTTCACTCCCAGGTGTACACCCAAAAGAAGTTAAGGCAAACTCCCACGAGGCCGTGCACGCCGTGTTCACAGCAGCACCATCTGCAGCAGCCAAGAGGTGGGGCCGGTCCCTCTGCCGACGTCCAGAAGAACCAAGTGTGGCCCACCCGCCCTGTGATGGTGATTTTATGCTCATCTTGGCTGAGCCATTTGACCACATGTGCCTGTCTCTGGCTGAGACTGACAATTGAATAGGTGGGCTGAACAAAGCAGGTGGCCTCCCGATGTGGGTGGGCCTCGACCATCAGTTGAAGACCTGACAGACCAAAATGCCTGAGCAGGAGGCAGCTCCATCTGGTTGACCGCCTGAGCTGGATGTCGGTCTTTCCTGCCTCTGGACTCAGACGGAAACATCACCCCTCCCGGGTCTCCTGCCTGGCAGCCACAGCTCTGGAGACATCCTCGTGTGGGCCAATCCGTTATCATAAACCTCTTCTCATGCTATATATACAGCCCATCCGTTCGGTTTCCCTGGAGAACCCAGACTAATACACATCCAATGGAATATTTTTCCGCCATGAAAAGGGACGGAGCTCTGACACCTACTACAGCTGGGCTGGACTCCAGGAACATGCTGAGTGAAGGCTGCCGACTCCTGGGGCCGCTTATGAGTATCGTGTCCATAAATGTCTAGTTTTGTGCTCTGCAAATTTTACCTTGACAAATTAATTTTGAAAAGAAAGAAAGAATGAACCATGTTTGACCTCCCAAGAAGTTCATTCAGGGTTTGGGGTTCCCACAGACTCAGCGGGCGGGTCCTCGGGGGACCCAGTGTTTCAAGGAGGACCTCTGTGCTCCCCAGAGTCATCGGAGTCCCCACAGAGGAGATGACGCCACCTCTGAGCCTGAAACGTCTCGTGTTCGCAGTGGGTGCCCTGGAAACCTGGCCCTTCCCGTGTCCCGGCAGATGAGGTCCCCATAGAGGGCCACCGGTGAGGGGAGTGCCATGGGGTACGCTCTGCTCTGCCCTCCCCTGCCGGCCCTTCAGTCCCTTCCTTGGGACTCAATCCTGATCTGTCCCCCAGGTTCCGAAGGGCTGGTGGAGGTCCCCAGGGCCCCAGAGGTGCACACTGTAGGGTGAAAGGGGGCCTGAGATCCACCCCTTTGTCCCGCCAGGGCCCAGATCTGCTCCCGCTGCCAGGTCTTCTCCCTCCGAGCTGCCCTCTCCATTGCTGGACCCTGAGTCAGCCTTCACCAGCCCCCGCCTGGCCACTGTGCACCTCCAAGGGGGGACACAGCCTCCACCCAGGGCTCAGCTTAGCCAAGATGCCCCTGAGCTGGAAGTCCACTGTGGGCTGAGCTGTGTCCCCCCAAATTTCGAATGTGGAAGCCCTCAGCCCCTAGGACCTCAGAATGTGACTGTATTTGGAGATGGGTCTTCAAAGAGGTGATTAAGGTAGAATGAGGTCACTAGGGTGGGCCCTGACCCTATAGGGCCCTGAGCCAATAGATGAGGATGCAGACACACAGAGGGACGATGACATGGGAACACAGTGTGAAGATGGCCATCTGCAGGCCCAGGGAGCGGCCTCGGCAGGAACCGGCCCTGCCCACACCTGGGCCTCAGACGTCCAGCCTCCGGGCTGTGAGAAAATTAATTTCTGTTAAGCCACCGGGTCTGTGGTGCTTTATGACTGCCCTAGCAGACTCACACAGGGTACCAGGTCACAGCTCTTGGGGGCCAAATGCATGTCCCAGAGGCCACATTCCCAGCAGCACCGGACATCTGCCCTGGCCCCTGTTCCCTCCTCAGGGTGCCACACCCTGGGGACTTGGAGGCTTGTATTTTTGATGTCAACACCAGAGGTGCCCGCCTGCCCTCCTGAGGCCTCCTTCCTTCATGCCCGCGTGATGGGACAGGGGACCATCCTCCAAGCCTCCAGGATGACTTACTGCGGCACCGCCAACAGAAAAGTAAAGCAGGCCACGTATGCAATGCGAAATATCTTAGTAGCCACATTAGAAAAGTAGAAAGAAACAGGTGAAATTTATTTTAATAATACATCTTAGTGAATCCAATATACAGTTTCCTCTTGGAGAACGTGGGGGTTGGGGGGTGCCAACCCCCAACAGTCAAATCCGTGTGTAATGTTTGTGTAATGTTTGACTTCCCCCAAATTTAACTACTAATAGCTACGGTCGACCAGAAGTCTTACTGGCAACATGGAGTCGGTTAACACATCATTTGTATGTTCTGTGTATCACAGTCTGATTTCTTACATTAAGGAAGCTTAAAAAAATGTTAAGAAAACCATGAGGAAGAGAAAATACATTTACAGTATTTACTGGAAAAAAATCATGTTTATGTGGCCCCGACGGTTCAAACCTGTGGTGTCCAAGGACCAGCTGTACCCAAAATATCGTCATCTCAACACAGTTAGCCACATATTTTACATTCCGTCTTTGAAATCCAGCATGTTTCAGGCTCACAGCACACCTCAGTTTGGACCTGCCGCAGGTCAGGTGCTCAGCCACCGCGTGTCGCTCCTGCCCACCACAGTGGATGGTGCAAATTTAGACCCTCAAGAGCGAGCCCCGGATGTGGCCGCCCCACACTGTGGACTCGGTGGGCACCAGCCGCCC